TCGTGCGGGCTCTTTGAGCAGCGGCTGCCGGGCCGCCCCGGCACAGTAGTCCGACAACCGCCCGTGCGAGTGCTGGGGAGCGGGTTGGAACGCGTCGGACGCACCTGTTCTTAGAATCATGTCTGGGCAAAAAACAGGAACCAACGCCTCCAGTTGGGTCGTTGCTTCCCGGCGAAGCTCCACGGCGTCGCGCGCTCCCGAGAGGAGGCTCGCGGAGGAAGCGAATCGCGCAGGTCCCGGGGCAGGTAGGGGCGGCAGAGGGGGCGGCAGGAGAGAGGCTGGTGTCCAGGATCCGCCCCTTTGTTTTGGGTTAAAGAACGGCTTCGTCGGCCTCGTGATCGGTGAGCAAAAGAACGGATGTGGTGGGCAGGGGCGGGGAGGGTCGTGAGTGGGGTCGGTGGCGGAGCCTGAGCAAGGGCACTCCCTTCCCATTCGCCTCCCATCAGTTGATTCAGGTCTCCCTGGTCTATTTCTAAGACCTTCTGGTGCTAAAATAGTGTCATTAAATTCATCTTTTATGGAGACAATGTTTTGGGGAGATTCCTAGAAAATTTATGAAATCTTCGGCATGAAGAGGAATTCTTAAAAAAGATAAGGGCTTTTGACAGCTTACCCCAAAATGAGAAATGAAACTGTTGAATTCGGCCTGTTTATATGAGCACCACTTAAAGCCATTAATCAAAGGAAATGTGTAGGATATTGTAGGTCTGCACAGAGCATCAGCCATATCTTGCTTTTAGTTTCTTTAACTTTACCTGTAACTTATTTGCTGAAAAAACAGGATTTTTCTTTTTTGTACATCTTCAGTCTTACAAAACGATTCCTGAATACTTTTTGGAGACAGGATTGCCGTCATCCAGACTAGAGTGCGGTGGCAAAATCATAGCTGGCAGTAACCACGAGCTCCTGGGCTCAGCAATCCTCCTGCCTCAGTTTCCCCAGTATGTAGGACTACAGATGGGAGAACACCCGGCTAAATTTTTCTGTTTTGTAGAGATGGAGTCTAGCTATGTTGCCCAGGCTGGCTTCAAGCTATCCTCCCATCTCCCAAAGTGCTTTGATTACAGACATGAACTATTGTGCCCAGCCAATTTCTGAGTTTTTGTGAAAAGCATTTTAAAATCATTGGAATGATTTGCGAATTTATTGCCATTAAGACCCAGTACAAATTATAGCATTTTTGCCCATTAGGCATTGGAGTTAGAAAGAGGGTGCTCTATAAGAGAAAGACACTAGATTTGCAATAAAAATCACTTGAGCTGCGAACACTTACAGAGCAGCTGTGAAGGGCAGACACTTTGCTGCAGAGCACTCATTTGATTTAAAACCAGCTGTTTTATGTTTTAAAAAAGTTGCCCTCTTGTTAAGCATACAGTAAAGTATTGATAATCACAATGTTGTACCCCACATCTCTAGAACTTGTACAATTAAAACTCTATCTAAGGCCGGGTGCGGTGACTCACGCCTGTAATCCTAGCACTCTGGGAGGCTGGATCGCTCAAGGTCAGGAGTTCAAGACCAGCCTGAACAAGAGCGAGACCCTCTCTCTTCTAAAAAATAGAAAGAAATGATCTGGACAACTAAAAATATATGTATATAGAAAAAATTAGCTGGGCATAGTGGCACATGCCTATGGTCCCAGCTACTTGGGAGGCTGAGGCAGGAGGATTGCTTGAGCCTAGGAGTTTGAGGTTGCTGTGAGCTATGATGACGCCATGGCACTCTACCCTGGGCAACAGAGTGAGACTCTGTCTCAAAAAAAAAAAAAACTCCCTATTTCCCACTACCCCTAAACCAGGAAACCACCATTTGTTTCTTAGCTTGCCCATATACCTAGAATCATGCAGTAATTGTTTTGTGGATTGGCTTATTTCACTTAGCATAATGTCCTCCAGGTTAATCCATCTTATAGCGAGGGATAGGATTTTCTTTAAGGCTCAGTGATATTCATTGTTATGTATATACCTGACTGTTTATCCATTTATCAGTTGATGGACACATGGGTAACTTCTAACTTTTGATTATTGAATAGTGCTGCTATGACCATCAGAGTGCAGATAACTATTTGTATTCTTTTGCATGTATACCCTAAAGTGGGACTGCTGGATCATCTGGTAGTTCAATTTTTAACTTTTTTGCGGAAACTTCATTCTGTTTTCCATAGTGGCAGTACCATTTTACAATCTCACCAACAGTGCACAAGGGTTCTATTTTCTCCTCCTTACCAACACTGGTTATTTTTTGGTTTTGATAATGGCCATCCTAACAAGTGTGAGGTGGTATCTCCTTGTGATTTTGATTTGCATTTACCTGATTGGTGATATTGAACACCTTATACCTGTTGGACATTTGTATGTCATTGGAAAAATTTCTATTCAAGTCCTTTGAAATGTGAAAAAAAGTTTCCCATATCCTCTCCAGCACTTTCTTTTTTTTTTGAGACAGAGTCTCACTCTGTTGGCCAGGCTAGAGTGCTGTGGTGTCAGCCTAGCTCACAGCAACCTCAAACTCCTGGGCTCAAGCGATCCTCCTGCCTCAGCCTCC